TACATCACTTATTAACACGGAAATCTCTCTTTTTCTTTTGGACTCCTCCGCCCTGGCCTCCGCTGCCTCCATCACATGCAGGGAAAGGATGGAGGGTATGAAAGCGAGAGTTTCTACCCCAATGTAGAGCTAAACTTCCTGGAAATCCCAAACATTCATGTGATGAGGGAGTCTCTCAGGAAGATGAAGGATGTCGTTTATCCTACCATAGACGAAGCTCACTGGCACTCCTTTATCGACCAGACGCACTGGCTGGAGTACATACGGGTAAACTACACAAACGCACGCCAGCCACATAAAAGAAGGAACAAGCTGTTTCCTTATGCAAAGAATAGATCTTAAGCACACGGCCCTGCTGTGTTTAGCTGTTATTAGCAGGAGCAGCAAAGGTAGCTGATAAGCTGGAGTCTGGGAAGACGTCGGTGGTGGTTCACTGCAGCGACGGCTGGGACAGGACAGCCCAGCTTACCTCTCTGGCCATGCTGATGCTGGACAGTTACTATCGCACACTGAGAGGCTTCCAGGTTACACACACCAAGTACACACTCCAGACCTCATCTTTGCATGTAGTAACGTACTAAACATATATATGCTTGTGTTTGCAGGTTTTAGTGGAGAAGGAGTGGATTAGTTTTGGACACAAGTTTGCTGCTGTAAGAGTCTGCTACATATAATATTTGTTGCTTTGCTTTATATCACTATTTTTTACATAACAACAAAACAATCTGGCATCAACATGCAGTCATTTACACAGTTACCTGGAATGAAGTACATTCACGAGCCTTTGCTTTTCATGTACACGCTCCAGTGTCGCTGCATATGTAAACAAGTTAGAGGTGCAGTGATGCAGTGATGCATTTGCTTCACATGCAGAGATTCCGAGTCCAGGAGGAGAAATACTTACGAGAAGATCTGTCATAAAAATCTGCACCATATTAAATATGCATGCCTTGTTATTAAGGAAGCAGCCAGAAGAAGCTTTTAGTTGTATATGAGAAAGCAAATGATACGACTCAACAT